CGAATCACATGCGAAATACTCTCGTCAACAGCAAGCAAACTATATGTAAAAAAAGTTATTGTATTTTTATTATTCTAGACTACTTATCAATGCCTGAAAAGACGAAGTAAATATCAATGTGTTTGATACGGTTTTCTATCACGATAATTAACAGTAAGTTGGTTTTAATGTTAACATCAGATATATGTAATTCACCGGGATCAGCGAGTTGAGATATATGGCCCTGTTCCTTGAATACGATTAATCAAGATAATGTCGTCCGGATGAATGTTATTGCAACGGTTTACAATAGGAGCTGTGTTTTATATTCACGCTTCGTTTTGACACAAGTTTGCAATGAATGGATTCGAACCGAGGTTCGGGTGTTTAGTGCATCTATTTGAGTTTCACTTATAATTGACTTTTTTAATTGAACGAAAACATCCACATTTATTAAAAGTATAGAAGGATTTGTTTTAAGAAGTAAAGAAGTCGAACATATCAACAAGAATAACAAATATAGGAGTCCCAAAATTAGCGTTTGTTTAGATCTTTTTTGCTCAAAGCTACACAAGGGCAACCTCCATATAGCCGTCCCTAATTTTGAGCTTATAGACTAAAGAAGGGGGGAGGGCAGATAATCAACAGCACCTCCTCCAAAAATTAACTTTTCTTATCTGACTAAACAGTGGAATTTGATTGTTACTCTTATAGCGCACACATGGCCTCAAACTGTGAAGCACGTTTTATCTAAAACGGGATGCGTACCACGAATTTGCAGATTCACAGTTCGGGCACGCTAATAACTAAGCCACTTAACCTTTTCTGGAAGTTTCTATCTGTTCTTACGTAATGGGCTGTTTATGCTGTGTGCAACACAGGTATCGAAACCCGGGCTTTAGCGTTATAATCCCTCAGACTTACAGCCGAGCCACTGGGGAGCTTACTGAAAGTTAATTCATTAAAATGTTACACCTGGTCAGTACACACAAACGAATCCAGAACAAGGAAAAACTAACCTTTAGGTAAGGTTAACTAAATTAATCCTTTAATTATCAGTATGGATACATTACGCCTTTATTCATATTTGACAGGTAATTTTAAAATATACGTTATTATTGTGCCCTAAGCTGTGAATGATTTGGGCAATTCTGCTTTGATCGTTTTAAACATACCGCGTCATCGACGTATGCACAAAATATCCTCGGGGTTAATTTTTCATTAGTTATTGCTAGGTACTGAGCCAAAACGCATCTGGTAAGAAATAAAATTAAGTTTTTCTAAAACTGAGGATAACCAGACCGTTTAACTGCAATATCTTACCACTGGTACTTCTGATGGTCACAATGATAGAAAAACGAACCATCTGTGCAAGGATGTAACAAATGGACGTGGAAATATCACGCGCCGCACGTGTCCACGATTGAAGGATTCTAAGCATAACAGGCATTCCCGAGAAGTGGCAATGTGAGATTGGGAGCCAAACAAAAATAACTTTGTTTGTTATATCGAACATTTTTGACGCATTCAATATTTTATATTGGAATTTTTTTTTCAGGTGGTTCGACTTTAAAAAGTTTTTTCGTGACATAAATGTACAATTTTATTTCCCCCCAAACGTTGTATTATTTCAAGAATTATAATTCCATTATTTTTCTTTAAAAGTACGTTGGATAATAATATTTATATTTGAATACGAACCGTATTTGTTTATACCTTGGTAACAGGAAGGTAGAAATCGGTTACCATATATATACATAAGTTTTAGTACTATCGTCTTCAGTGTGACATCTCTCCTTATCAATTAGTTGAAATTTAAAAATGACCGAAGTTAATAATAAATACTTTTAGACGCATTGTGCTATACTAATACTGTTTCCATCATCAGGGTTGTGATTATAGTGTTTCCATCATCATGGTTGTGATTATAGTGTTTCCATAATCAGGGTTGTGATTGTAGTGTTTCCATCATCATGGTTGTGATTATAGTGTTTCCATAATCAGGGTTGTGATTGTAGTGTTTCCATAATCAGGGTTGTTATTATAGTGTTTCCATCATCAGGGTTGTGATTATAGTGATTCCATCATCATGGTTGTGGTTATAGTGTTTCCATCATCAGGGTGGTGATTATAGTGATTCCTTCATCAGGGTTGTGATTATAGTGTTTCCTTCATCATGGTTGTGATTATAGTGTTTCCATCATCATGGTTGTGATTATAGTGTTTCCATCATCAGGGTTGTGATTATAGTGTTTCCATCATCATGGTCGTGATTATAGTGTTTCCTTCATCATGGTTGTGATTATAGTGTTTCCTTCATCATGGTTGTGATTATAGTGTTTCCTTCATCATGGTTGTGGTTATAGTGTTTCCATCATCAGCGTTGTGATTATAGTGTTTCCATCATCATGGTTGTGATTGTAGTGTTTCCATCATCAGAGTTGTGATCATAGTGATTCCATCATCATGGTTGTGATTATAGTGATTCCATCATCATGGTTGTGGTTATAGTGTTTCCATCATCAGCGTTGTGATTATAGTGTTTCCATAATCAGGGTTGTAATTATAGTGTTTTCATCATCATGGTCGTGATTATAGTGATTCCATCATCAGGGTTTGATTATAGTGTTTCCATCATCAGAGTTGTGGTTATAGTGATTCCATCATCAGCCTTGTGATCATAGTGATTCCATCATCAGGGTTGTGGTTATAGTGATTCCATCATCAGGGTTATGAGTGTAATATTTCCATCATCAGGGTTGTCGATTATAGTGTTTCCATCATCAGGGTTGTGATTATAGTGTTTCCATCATCAGGGTTGGGATTATAGTGTTTCCATCATCAGGGTTGTAGTTATAGTGATTCCATCATCAGCCTTGTGATCATAGTGATTCTATCATCAGGGTTGTGATTATAGTGTTTCCATCATCAGGGTTGGGATTATAGTGTTTCCATCATCAGGGTTGTAGTTATAGTGATTCCATCATCAGCCTTGTGATCATAGTGATTCTATCATCAGGGTTGTGGTTATAGTGATTCCATCATCAGGGTTATGAGTGTAATATTTCCAGCATCAGAGATGTGTGTTTCGATAATCAGGGATTTTGAGTGTAACGTTTCGCTATACTCACAGCCCTAATGATGACAACTACGTTACAGGAATGCGAGTGTAACGTTTCGCTATACTCACAGCCCTAATGATGACAACTACGTTACAGAAATGCGAGTGTAACGTTTCGCTATACTCACAGCTCTAATGATGACAACGACGTTACAGAAATTGATCTGCTTTAAGAAACTTAAAAAGGTTTGTGTTTCATTGTGCCCAAATCCCCCTTTTCATTGATTTAGCTATATAAATAAAGGTTTCAATGAAACACAAACCTTTATTTATGTAGCTAGATAAATGAAAAGGGGGATTTGGGCACAATGAAACACTGCCCAAATCCCCCTTTTCATTTATCTAGCTACATAAATAAATGTAACGAAACTAGAAACAGTATCAGGTGAATGTCAGTTTAATACATTTCTCGTACTGCTAGGATTTTCTGTTACACCCCAGAGAATAAAAGAATGGTTAATAACGCTGTTAGAGATTATTTATTCAACTGGCTCAACAGGAAACTTATATGAAATAGGGGTTGTCACAATCCTCATGAATGTTTTGCGAGAGTAAATATTGTTGACGTATTCGTTACTTGCGGATTAATCTAGTTTCTAGAAAACGACAAGAACAAGCACCACCACAAAGTAAAAGTCCCGTATAGCGCGCATTAAAAACAAACACCGTATTTTATATGTTTGCGTGTTGAATCATTTGTACGAAGCAGTACAATCCGTTTAGGTTCCGGAAAGTTGAATCAGAACATTTCGGATATCTTTTGCCATTTTAAATAGGTACAGAACGAGGGGATATATATATATATACGTTGAAATAAAGGATTTTTTAAATCTCCAAAGAAATGATGTTCCAGCATACGAACGTGAACAAACAGATCTGTTCTTATCGTACTTAGTGCATATAGTGTGTAATGAAATTCTTAGAACACTGTAATACATTGACCGGGTTTCCATTGTGCCTTCCCTTAATCCGTATTATTGGATTACACAAAGAAGCAAGCTAGAAGCTCAATTCTAAATTGCTTTGAAGAAACACTAATGGTATCCTGAAAGAGGATCTGATCTTTGGGATTTTGGTGGTGATGGTGGTAAATGATTCTTTTTTTTCTTTTCTTTTTTTTGGTTAAATGTGCTTTTAAACACTGGATCTTAAAATAACTAATATTAATAACCAGCCGTTTTTTCTTGTTTGTTTGTTATGAATTTCGCGCAAAGCTACACGAGGGCTATCTGGGCTAGCCGTTCCTAACTTAGCAGTGAAAGACTAGATGGAAGGCAGCTAGTCAACACCACCCACCGCCAACTCTTGGGCTACTCTTTTACCAACGAATAGTGGGATTGACCATCACATTCTAATGCCCCCACGGCTGAAAGGGCGAGTCGAGCGCTCTAACCACCTGGCATGCCGGGCCCTCGTAGTTAAGCACAAAGCTATAAAATGGGTTCTGCCCACCACGGGTATCGAAACCCGGTTTCTAGCGTTGTAAGTCCATAGACATGCCGCTGTGCCAATGGGAAGCCAAGCTGTTGTTAGTGCTTCGTATTCTAATAAACAATACATTCTACGTAATAACTTCAGAAAAATATATTTAATTAGCTATGCTCATTAACAACTTGATTGTTAGAGTTTTGCTCTAAGTATGTATCGTGGGCGTCCGCAGAACTTTTCCAGCCGCCTCTAATTTTGAACTGCTACCCTAGAGGGAAGGCAGCTAGCTAGTGAACAGAACCTACCACCAACTCCTGGGCTACTCTTTGCTCTCCAAACAAGTTGATTTGGCTATTACCCTTATAACGCACCCACGGCTCTAATATGCCGAGTGCGATGTATTTTTGCGTTATTGTGACGTGAATGTTATAACCAGAGAGACATAGTTCAGCATGCTAACCACCGTGCCAAGCTCAGCATGCTAACCACAGAGACATAGTTCAGCATGCTAACCACAGAGCCACAGTTCAGCATGCTAACCACAGAGCCACAGTTCAGCATGCTAACCACAGAGCCACAGTTCAGCATGCTGACCACAGAGCCACAGTTCAGCATGCTGACCACAGAGCCACAGTTCAGCATGCTAACCACAGAGCCACAGTTCAGCATGCTGACCACAGAGACATAGTTCAGCATGCTAACCACAGAGCCACAGTTCAGCATGCTAACCACAGAGCCACAGTTCAGCATGCTGACCACAGAGCCACAGTTCAGCATGCTGACCACCGTGCCAAGCTCAGCCCGATCCACAGTTCGCCACCTGTTACCGCCAAGAAATAATTCGTGCTCCGCAATTTAGGGATGTTGGTGAGTTATAGGAGTGAAGATCAAACCCCACTATTCTATCAGAATAGCCAACAAGCTGGCAGTTGGTGCTATGATTAGCTGACTTCCCTCTAGTGTATCAGTTCAAAATTAGTGACGGCTAACTCAAATAGCACTCAAACATCCTTGCGCAAAATTCCATAAGCAACAACAACCTTCTAGTTTGAAGCGCGGACTGACACTGTTATAGAGGGCGCATCATACGCGTCAGCCAATCATTTAGCGTTGTTGATAGTAGGTGCTTCTCTTACCTGTGGTCAGTAGATCAAAATTAGAAACGGCGACGAATAGTTTTAGTAGTTGTCTTCCCTTAAATAAAAAAAAACTACAACTAGAAATAATTTCTGGTTTATCAGTTTAAAATTAGAGACAGTTATGCGCAGTTAACCCTTGTCTAGCTTTGCGTGAAAATTCCAGAAAAAACGTAACATTTCAGAAGGATTTTGTAGATCTTTGTGGACGGATATCTATCACAAAAATCACCATAGAAACCTCTATAAACGACTATTTAACATAAAGAAATCACCATAGAAACCTCTATAAACGGCTATTTAACGTAAAGAAATCACCATAGAAACCTCTATAAACGGCTATTTAACATAAAGAAATCACCATAGAAACCTCTATAAACGACTATTTAACATAAAGAAATCACCATAGAAACCTCTATAAACGGCTATTTAACAGAAAAAAATCACCATAGAAACCTCTATAAACGGCTATTTAACATAAAGAAATCACCATAGAAACCTCTATAAACGACTATTTAACATAAAGAAATCACTATAAATGTTTTGAACGTCTTTTTGGACGAATATCATAAAAAATACACTAAACGTCTTTGAGGATAGATTTATATTACAAAATCATCCTATGGATACCAGATGCAAAATGCACTGTACTCAAATATTTATATTGTAGTATATATATAAATGTGTTATTCGTGCTCTATCACATCTATTTTGTTTCCTATTCGAACTGATATTTCTTTCCTTCTCACGAATGTTTTATTAGCACTTCTAAATAAACGTTTTCAACATAACTGATTCTCTATTCACAGAAAAGGATTTTTATTTGGAACTGATGTTTCTCTATTTTTTCAGCTATTTTTATGTTAGGACTTACTTCCTTCTAATAACAATCTTTAAAATGTTTTGTTTGTAATTATGCACAAAGCTAAGCAATGGGCTATCTGTCCTCTGCCCACCACGGGTATCGAAACCCGGATTCTAGCGTTGTAAGTCCGCAGACATACCGCTGTGCTACTGGGGGGGGGCGTTTTGTTTGTAATTAAGCACAAAGCTACGCAATGGGCTGTCTGTGCTCTGCCCACCACGGGTATCGAAACCCGGATTCTAGCGTTGAAAGTCCGCTGTGCCAGTTGGGGGCTAAAATGTTTTCACTCCCTATATTAATACCTCTGTTAAATTGTATTAAAATGTTTTATTAATATCACCGTCAAAATGTTATCACTTTGAAACATTAATTACAAAGGACTATCTACACTAGGTGTCTTTAATTTTCAACTAACAGACAAGAGGGAAGCCACCAAACTCAGCAGCATTCACCGCCAACTCTTGGTCTACTCGAAATAAGCTGCGGAATCATTGTTCCAACGAACCAGGCCCGGCATGGCCAGGTGGTTAAGGCACTCGACTCGCAATCTGAAGGTCGCGGGTTCGAATACCCGTCACACCAAACATGCTCGCCCTTTCAGCCGTGAGGGCGTTATAATGTGACGGTCAAAAGAATAGCCCAAGAGTTGGCGGTGGGTGGTGATGACTAGCTGCCTTCCCTCTAGTCTTACACTGCTGAATTAGGGACGGCTAGCGCAGATAGCCCTCGTGTAGCTGAAAGGGCGAGCATGTTTGGTGGGACGAGGATCCGTTGTCTTGGAGCTGTTATAAGGTACTATTTGTTCAGAGCTCTGAACAGATTCATTTTCTTGAACCTGTCAAAAAATACAATCTCTTCAAACCTGTGAACAATAATTGTGTCTTAAAGCTGTCATAAAATGCAATATGTACATAGCACTCAACAAGACCGTTGTCGTAAAGTTGTCTTAAGACAATATAAATGAAAAATAAACAAACTGGGAATTCAGAAACCTGCAAATAGTAAAAATCGTAAAAAGTAAGGAAACAAGGCTGGAGATACTGTAGACATTATTTACTCAAACTACAAACCCCTATTTTGACTCCACGCTGTTACCTAGAATTACATTTAATGGAGTCAAAATAGGGATTTGCAGTTTGAATAAATAATCCTTAGTTGCAGGTTTTAAATTCCCATTTTTTTATTTATCTTGTTTGCTGGCTTTTTTATGCTCAGCTATAAACAAAGGATTACTTGATATGGTAGCTAACCTTATACATTGTAAAGATAATAAACGTAGCTAATAGCTAGCTGATACGGTGCATGATGATTTATTGTACCTATTGACTAGTTGATCGCATTAGTTCGAGATGTAAAATGTAGCAGGAGATTGTCGTGAAAATTTGTTTGAGAATATAGTGACCATTTATAGTTCCTGTGTAACGAAATTCTCTATATACAATGCAAAGCAATAGGCAAATATATGCCTAGACTAAGAAATAACCATCACTAAACGCGTATAAAATTTTAGCAGTAGGAAAGCAGTCTTTTTAAATATAACATATTCGTCCAAAACATCGCTTTAAATAAACATTCGTGTCATTAAAGTAATTATTCTATGATGTAATAAAATATAATATTATGTGTATTGTTTTTTACTCCTTCACTTTATTCATAATTTATGGGTTAGCACCCTAAAGACACCAATTGTATAGTGTACAGAGCATTGAGTATCCAAATGTTACAGTCATCTAATGTTTATTTCTTCTTGGCAGGTAATTCCTGTTTCACCCTGTCCTTAAACGTTTTAAAATAATAGCATTTGTTTGTAAGAAAGCTAACTTTAGGGGGTAATGACAACATCGTTTACACTAGAATTAGATTTTTTTAGCTTATGTAACATACAGAAGAAACAACTCGACTTTTTAAACATCTTTCGACTTTCGCAGTACCTTATCTAGTATTTTACAAAAGGTTTGGGTGCAATATACCAAGTTGTTTTTATTGTAGGCTGGTAAGAAAATAATAATAATAATTACAAACGGGCTGTTTGGAGCGGATTTTTTTTTCCGTGTAAATCTAGCAAGCGTGCTTAGTACATATACGTACAGCTTTAGCAGTTAATAGTAAAGGTTTAAAGTTCTGTTTGAACTGAAACTTTACTGTTTAAGGTGCTCTTTGCCCGAATTCCCTATTAGGATTTTGTGAAATTCCTTGCGATCCCTATTATGAACCATTATCGTGAATCATAACGCTGTTTGCACAGAACTCTGAAAACTCCATTGTTACGAAGCTATTACAAGGTGCATCCTCTATACTCTTCTGAACCACAAAAAATGTGTCTTGAAACGGTTATAAAATACAATCTGTGCATAGGTCTGAACAAGACCGTGTTTAGGAAGTTGTCACAAAATAAAATATGTACTTAGCTCGTGAAGCTGTCATAAAGTACGATTTGTAATATAGCTCCGAACTAGACCGTTGTCGCTAAGCTATCATAAAATACAATCTGTGCATAGGTCTGAACAAGACCGTGTTTAGGAAGTTGTCACAGAATAAAATATGTACTTAGCTCGTGAAGCTGTCATAAAGTACGATTTGTAATATAGCTCCGAACTAGACCGTTGTCGCTAAGCTATCATAAAATACAATATGTGCATAGCTCCGAACTAGACCGTTGTCGCTAAGCTATCATAAAATACAATCTCTACAAAACTGTAAACAAGAATTTTGTTTTCAAGCTGTCGTAAGACAAGATAAATATAAATGAAAACTGGGAATTTAGAAACCTGCAAATAGGGATCGTAAAAAATTAAGGCAACAGGGCTGGAGATACTGTATACATTAATTACCCAAACTACAAACCCCTATTTTGAATAGTGGTGTGTCCTAGAGTTACATTTGGAGGAGTCAAAATTGGGATTTGTAGTTTGAGTAAGTAACTTCTACAGTATCTCCAACCTCGTTTACTGGCTTTATCTTTATGCTTAACTATGGGTAAAGGTTGATAAAATACAATCTGTACATGGATCTGAACAAGACCGTTGTCTTGAAGTTTTCATAAAATACAATATGTACAGAGCTCAGTAAAAGACAGTTGTCATGAAGCTCTTATAAAATACTACTTGCACATAGCTCTGAACAAAACCGTTGTCTTGAAGCTTTCATAAAATACAATATGTATCTAGCTCTGAACAAGACCGTTGTCTTGAAGCTTTCATAAAATACTATTTGTACATAGCTCTGAACAAGACCGTTGTCTTGAAGCTTTCATAAAATACAATATTTACATAGCTCTGAACAAAACCGTTGTCTTGAAGCTTTCATAAAATACAATATGTATCTAGCTCTGAACAATACCGTTGTCTTGAAGCTTTCATAAAATACTATTTGTACATAGCTCTGAACAATACCGTTGTCTTGAAACTGTTGTAAGATATAACTCCAGTTATTAGATGTAGACGTTACACTAACTGGTTAGATGTATTGTTTGCTGAAATGAAATGTAATACAATTTAATACAATGTACGTCTTCACATGAGACGTTGTCAAGATAAAATAATTATGTTGTGAATGTGATATATTGTACATGTATAATCCACGTCTCCTACAAGAAAGCACTTCTTAAAGACCTTATACAAACTGCACAAGAAATATATATATATATAAAGCAGAGTTAATATATCAACCCCCCGCCTCCTAAAAATAATATTGTGAATATCCTGTTTCATCAGCACCTATCAAACACAGAAGGTAAACTAGATGGCGTATACAGCAAATGAACGTCCTTCCGAGTCTTACTATCGCCCAGGTAATGGCTAATATCATTCAAGGTCTTTACCAGTTTACAACATTCTACA